GATACTCATACGTAGGGATGTCAGCTTGGTTTTAAAAGAAGTTAACAAAAATCCGAAAGTAAGTGCTTTAAAATTAGTCGAACACATTGCTAATGCAACTGGAAAGCATGTCAATCCACGTATAGTACAAAGAACGTTGAACAGCCACGGTTTTCATGATAGAATACCACGCAAAGAACCTTTAATTTCTGAAAAAAACCGAAAGCTGCGCTTAGAGTTTGCCAAACAATATAAAGAAAAGGATTTTGATTTCTGGAAGCAGGTTTTATTTACAGATGAATCGAAATTCAATATATTTGAACGCGATTGGAGAGCTAAAGTTTGGAGGAAAGCGAAAACAGCACTGAATCCGAAACATATAATGCCAACTGTAAAGCATGGTGGTGGCAGTGCTATGCTTTGGGGAGCCGTAGCTGCAACTGAAGTAGGAAAAATATCTTTGACGTAGATTGACATGCTTTCCAGTTGCATTAGCAATGTGTTCGACTAATTTTAAGGCACTTACTTTCGGATTTTTGTTAACTTCTTTTAAAACCAAGCTGACATCCCTACGTATGAGTATCCTTGGGCGACCACTGCGAGGCTTATTTTCAATAGAACCACTATTTTTATAATTTTTTATTATCGTCTGAACTGTTGATCGAGTCAAATTTACTAGTTTTGATATTTTTACCATAAGGTTTTTTTTCATTTCTTTGCTTAATAACCAGATTTCGCATATCACTTGAAATTCTTTTCGTGGACCCATCGTGTCAATTAAATACCACTCTCAAAGCACAACCAAGTGCATTATATAAATGTATGACTCATGCCACAAGCATGAAATATGAAAAACGGTACTTTCCCGTTTAACATTTAAATTACTGTCAACTAAATGTAACAATCAATGAAGTGTATGTAGACTTTTGTCAATGATTTTTTTAGGTTTTTTTCGAATAATTTCGTTAATTTATATTGATGAATGAATTTTCTTTTGTTTATTATTATTAAAAAACAGTTCTAAACAAAACTGTATCATTACTTTTTTTCTATTATGTCTTTGGATTTACGAACTAGCAGAAATGGGGGGTGTATGTAGAGTTTTGTCGCTGACTGTATATTGACCATGAAAACTTTTTTACAAATAATGGGAATAGGGGCTTAGCTTCCCTGATACAACGTTACTCTAGTCGACATTCATATATTCAGGACTTCATGTTTGTGTTATAAGAATTAGTGCAGTGGAATTATTCCCACAAATGTGCCATTATCTCTCTAGTCGGGCGCTTTTCGTGGCGTTTTTCGCCTAACTGGACGGTCAGAAAAAAATTCTATTCAAATGCCACATGATCTTTGGACTACCCTACTTACCAGTTCAAGATAAACATTCTACTTCAAGTCATGTGAGACAGAATGTTTGTTTAATCTTCTATAAACACATTTTATAATTAACTAAATTGTAACTACCATTCTGCTTTTTCTTTATTCTTGACATTTTTGTATATTAACTAGCAAAGAAATAAAGTTACAAAAATGAAAGAAAAATATATTGATAGAAATATCTACATAATTTGTATTTTTATGTATTATAATTAAAAAATTATAAATATTTATTATGAAATAATTAATTATTAAAAAAATGTTGCATGGTTATAGTATTTGTCTCCAATTAAATCTCAATTTAAAAGTACTAACATCTATAATTATAAAATTATTAATATCACTAACAATTTAACCTAAGGATTAAAATTAATTAAAAACTAATTATAAAATTGATTAAATGAAAAACTTTTCTCATACATGAAATTAGCAAATTCCATGTCTGAGTAGTAATTTTGTGGTCTAATCCGATTGATTAAATTACAATTGTTTGAACACGTTCAATTACTGTAAGCAATGAATATTAATTTTTTTAGATTAATTACAATTAATTGCAAGAAACATAAAATAATAAATTACTTTTTTATCACCTTAAGGTATAATTACTTGTTATGCTTGATTTATTGCAATACTTAATTAGTAACTTACATACATATTTGCATACATTATTTCCTTTGAGGAAGAGTTCAAAAGTTTCTTAAGGTGTATTAAATATATATATATATAATATGAGACTACAAAAATAAATAGAAATAAAATTTACAAGAACTGTTAACATGAATAACTTTTAATGCAGTATAACAGTAATTGATAAATACTGTTTTACTTAAGTACAAAAGTATAAGTAACAAAAGTACTAATATTCTAGGTGGATTGATAATTACCTGACTTCACAGCAGGTGGCAACGCCAGAATAAAATCAATTATGTTTTGTGTATCTAGCAAGTTCTAAACGACAGCTGTAAAAGTTTCGACTTTATCAGATGTGTGGTTAGCTTTTTGTAAATAATATTATATTAAAATTTAATATCGATCGATAATAAAATTCCTCCATTTGAAACGAATAAACAATGATGCAATCAAATTGGAAATGGATTCTGTTTACGGTAACTTTGCACCATCACTAACCACACTAAAATATTGGAAAGCTGAATTTAAAGGTGGTCATATGACTGTTTTTGGTCATATGACTGTAGGTCCAAAAGAGGTCACAATTGAAGAAAAATTTAAAAAAATTCACGATATTGTGTTGGGTGATCCAAAACTTAAATTGTGTCAGATAGCAAAAATAACAAATATATTATATGAACATGTATCAAATATTTCACATGAAGATTTGAGTAAGGAAAAGCTTCGGCAAGATGAAAGCTCGGATTTGCTAACAATTGACCAAAAACGACAATGACTTCGTCAATCAAAAAATTGTTTGAAAATGTTTATATACACTATCTAGCTGTCTGTTAGCGTCAAGTAGTGTCAATGGTTAAAACTTTGATCTATTATTTCAAACCTGAGGAAAAACAACAAGCCGAAGAATGGGTAGAGCCCGGAGGTAATGCTCCCAAATGACCAAGAACTCATCAATCGGTTGGAAAAGTTTTGACTTCCGTATTTTGGGATTCAAGTGGAATGATTTTCATAGACCATTTGAAAAGAAAAAGCCATAACATTACTATTACATATTATTGGATTGATTGAATAAGGAAATCAAGCAAAAATGATCACATTGTCGGAGAAAAAATGTTGTTTTTGCAGAATTACACACCCGTTCACACGTCAATGAAAACTTTGACAAAATTAAATGAATTACGGTACGAATTGTTACCTTATTTAGCTCCCAGTGACTATTATCTGTTCTCAAACTTAAAAAGATGGTTCCAGGAAAACAGATGATGCAGTGGAATGGGAAACTGAGGTATATTTTGGGGGACTTGATAAATCGTATTATTTAAAAGGTATCCAAATGTTGAAAGATTGTTAGATTCGGTGTGTCGAGCTAAAAGATAACGAGACTTCCATTAGATAAATACCCAATAAGTTTTAAGAATGTCATAGTTTACAAATGACATTTACAAAATGATTGCAAAAAACACTATATAAATTTTATTGAATTCAGTGAACAGTAAATTTTTTTCCAGTTTAAATTTTAAAACTATAATCATTAATTATTTTTAATTATGAATAATTATTTAATTCATTGCTTATGAAAATTTAAACAAGTTGTTATAATAATAATTCACAAAAATTTAATTTCTAACATGAAACTGTAAAAAGTTGATGTTAATTAATTAACATAACGTATATCATTAACGCTGTATGTAAAAATATGATTATATATTGCTAGTTTTATATGAATTATTAATTTAATAACTTTAATTGTTGGATTTATATATTAATAACACACAAAGAATTATATAATTAATATTAATAGTAAAATCCGTTATATATAAATATTGTAAGTTTAAAGTAAACCTGAACTTTAATTAATTTTATTTAATTAATTAACTTTAATTAAATTTGAAATAAACTCTTATTATTATTAATGATCTTTTATTATAAGTCAACGCAGTTGACATAATAATTGCATTATTATTCACATAATAATTGCATTAAAATATTAGAAGTTTTATTATACCTACCTATTATAAAATATTATAATATTATATTTATTATACCTACCTATTATAAAATATTATAATAGTTATATTTGCAAAAATATACTTCTTATGCTTTCGGTAATTCTTTTTTGTTCATCATCTTTATATAAATGCCTTATTTTCTTACGCATAATAGATAAAGGATTCTCCATGAAAAATCGTTTACTTTCCTGTGATTGTCAATTGAAAGTGTTTTTTTCCTGACACAAAACTTAGCTCCTTTGCAAATGAAAATGTTTTCCAATAATTATTAAATTCAATTTATCAGATAGTATGATATAGTATATATCAGTTATCGTGCTATACTTTTATAAGGCCTGTCTATCAGCCTGCCTATGCAACCCTGAAAATCGATGAGAAAATGTTTCCGGCTGCAATGAAAGTCATCGCTTTTCTCAAAGTCATTCTTCTTTTTCTGTTTACTCTTCTAATATTTTTTTTAAATTTTTAAAGTATAGTTTTAAGTCAATATTTATAAATGCTCCCAAAATGTATATCTTGTTTTTGTTAAACTATGTTATAAAAACTTAAGAAGTGTTTCAGCAACTGATTTTTGGATTAAATTTTTTTTTTAGTTTTAACATCACTTCTAAGCCGTAGAAAGCTTTTCTAATCATTTCTAAATACGATCTACTGAAACATCCAGAGTTTTAACAAGATCTTTAAAAAATTACTTCTGGTCAGGTTACTATCACGAGTCCAGGAGAGACTTGAGAAATTTCTTAAAAATTAATCGATGAACTATAATTAAACATATGTAAAGATAAAATCATTTCTTTTAAATACTGTAATTATATGTAAGCAACCACTCAGCAAGAAAATTTCGTTTTACTGCTTAGCTAGTTTGGTTTTTACGAATAAGCTTTCTAAATGATCTTATGTAGAATTTTTATGATTCCACATAAAAAGTAATTCTTTAAAAATTTTATTGATGCTTGGCAACAACAAGATTCGACTTTAAATACAGTAAATTTTCTCATAGTCTTGAAAGATTCTTGTCTAAAAAGTGTTGAGTTTATAATTAAAACTAAACGGATCAGCAACACTTAACAAAAAACAAAATGTTGCTCTGTACTAGTAGAACTATGGATCGCATCCGTTGCGGACAATCTCAGCATTGAAACTACTTTCTTTACACCACCTATTCGATGAAAATTTGATTAGATATTATCTACAATTTGTATTTTTTATAATATTTTGTGCAACAGTGTTGATAACGAAATATATATGGATGTATATAATATTCATTGGGGTGTACATATATTATAAGCATAAAAACGTTAACTATATACACTTTTACTTTCAAATGAGAAATTGTTATTTGTAAGAAAAGATTTTTTACAAATATGCATAACAAATATTATTAATAATTTAAAAAAAAACAAAAATGTATATTGCCTATAGAAAAATAAACAAAAAAAGATTTGTTAACACACACTCAGATACACTAATGTTATTCATAGGAAATTAAGAGCAAAAAAACTCCGCAGCAATTTTATAATTTTATAAAACACTGTTTTACAGTCATTAAGAGGCGCGATCTCGCTTATACGGACATAACTAATTTTAATTAATAACTAAGTTGTTTGATTACCTCTATAAGCGCTTGTGGTGCCTTCATGCATACGTATATAATGACGGTAAACTAAGAGCAATGTTATGGCCTTAGATGAAATTCGTATCTAACAGACCATGTACAGATCTTGAATAGTATCTTTTCTTAATGCACTTTTCTTTTTGTCTTCTGGGGAAGTAAAATGTATTAACGTTACATATTCCGACCTCCCCCAGAGTTATACTGATACTTTCTTCTAAGTTACTAAGCTAATTTGTTGTTGTTGGTTTTGAAGTTGTCTGTACTCGTATTGTATAAGATGAGTCGAGTCGTTGATAAATGATTTTGTGCTGGATGTTGTCGGTTGCTTCTAGTCTGTAGCAACTTGTTGCAATTGCAATTCGCATACAAGCTGCAAAGTAACTTTTACTTGTCATTCTACATTATTCAACGTTTCAATTTAATATATTATCCTCACCGTTATTCAAAACAGGCGATGACTGACGTAGTCACACACAGTGCATATATAATTACTTATTTTCAATATTAAATGCATTATAAAGCCAGGAAAATATTGCAAAGAATTTCGTTTAATAAGATATTTTCATAACTAAAATGATTATGAAATTATTGCACAAAATTTTATTAAGTTCAGATAATAGAAAAATTAAATTAATAAAATAAGATAAAAAATTAATATAAAATAGTGAATTAATAACACTAATAAAATTATTGTCAGCAAATGATTTCTTTTTAAAAGATTGTATATATATTTCCACTGCTTTATGAAAATTATTTAAATTTGATGAACTTCAAGGAAATGTAAAAATAAACATCAATAAAATAAACATTGATTGTAGTTGCTTACAATACCACCACTTCCAGTAATGATATTCTCTTTCATTGGTGCGCAAATTCAAAATTACTTCCAATTGCTTATTACAGTACATTTATTGTAAAATCTTCAGTCCCCATTGCAGGGGAGCAAATTCTATATTTAACATTGTCAAGTCATCAAAGAATTTCAAAAATATACGAGTATGTCCCCCAGTACAACATTGTGAGGTATACGTTTTTGTGAATGCATTGGCACCGCACTTTTGCCCAGTGTTGATATTTGGCATTTATTCCTCCGTACTTCAGTCTTGCTTTATTAGATTCAAGTGTTTTCTTTAGGTTTCTTTGTATTTCTTTATTAAATATTTTTTCTAAACTGAAAACGACTCTTCATGTGCGTCCACACATTCTACTTCGACTACTTGAGACTGGTTTCACGCTGACACTTAGGTTTGTCAAGTGCTTTGTGGCACTGTCAATAGAGTTTCTTATCTTCGACTGATTACTTCAAGTGTGTTAGGAATATTTTTATGAAATAAATAAATGCAGAGTAAACAAAGAAAGAATTATAAATAAGTTTTAAAATTATTAAAATAACTTAAGCCAACTTTATTTGGAAAGTCCACGTATAAAATATTAGTCTAAAAATAAAGATCTTTTTCAAAAAAATATTTATTATTTTTATTTTTTTTTTGTATTTTATTTGCATTACCATACTTCAAATAAAAAATTTTTATACCAAAAGCATTTCTACATTTAGCATGTGCATCCTTTACCATATACTACCATATACTACTAATAGTACATTCACACTGTCTAATTTAGGCACTTGCTCATTTATGTTAATGAGTGAACGTTCACATTATAATTAGTTCATTTATACAGCTGATAGAACTTTTATAAACTTTCATAAAGTTTACTTAATAATATATCATACAAAAAAATTTGATACATAATTGATATATTAACTCATTTATGTATATTTTATATATCAATCACATCTTCATTTAATAAAAACAAAGTTTTTATTAAATACTAACTTCCTCAGTGCCTTTGTTTACAGTTTAGCTCCTGTTTATTTACATTTTACATATAAAACATATGACACATATTTCAAATTTTGTTAATTTTCCTTGTCGAAAATTTGACAATTTTCCAATTAAATGGGTTGATTTATTGATAATGAGCTAACTCACTTATATGAAAGCTCTTTAAAATATGGTAAATCATCCTTATTAGTGGCTATAATGAGCCAAACCGCCTAAATGAGACAGTGTGAATGTCTTACAGCACACAGCCACGAAGTTGCCAGCTTAAACATGAACTAACTTAATGTATTATAACTATCCAATTAAA